AGGGAGAGAGGCGGCGCGTAGAACGGCTCCAAGGGCGCATGAGCGAGGCGCGCAGCAGGCTGCAGGGACGCCAGCAGCAGGGAGCTGCTCCGCGGCCTGCCGGGGCAGACAGGCAGCTAGCACCGCACGGGCCCGGGCTTCGGCCCTCAGCCGCAGGTAACGGTCGCCCGGCGGCAGCATTGCTCCCGGAGCACGGCGCGGCTCCGTACCTGCAGAGGCGGGCAGGGCGACGCCATTTTGTAGCCGGGCGGGGCCGCGCCGGGCTTTGGCGCTGCCTTTGAGGCGCTGGCCCCGGAGTGGTGGGAGTCCGCTATGGTCTGTGTCGCGGGCTCTGGCCGAGGGCTCAGGGTCGTACCTGGCGGAAGCCCTGCGGAGTTCTCCGTATGGCGGAGATGGAACCGGAGAGGTGCTGGCAAGGCCCGGCCTCGCACCTGGGGAATGGGTCTGTAGAAGGACGTCTGGCGGGCAGGCGGGCAGCCCAGCCCGGGGCGTAACTTAGCGCCATGCGCGTTGGGCTGAGGTGGCTGAGGCTGTGGTGGAGGGTCGGCCGCGCTGGTCTCGCCGCCGGCTGAGTCGTAGGTGCGCACGGAGAGCTCTTTCGGGAGCGGGAGAGGCCTGCCCCGGGCAGCCGGTCCGCTTCGCCGTGCTCCGCCCCTCGGGTTCCCGCCAAGCCCTCAGGTCGCCTGAGGGGCGCCCGGCTGAGCCCAGGCCGCCGGCCCACGGGCGGTGTCCGGTCCCGAGTGCGGGGCCGTGGCGTTGTTACCCGGAAAAGCGGATTCTTGTGGCGTGCCCGGTGTGGGAGCTCGGACGAAACACCGCTTCGTTCGGCCATCGGAGCAGTTGCTCTCGTAGTGCTAAAGTAGGTACAGTCCCAGTGAAAGACATTCAGTCACATTTTGGACGCTTATTGTACACAAAAAGAAAGTGAGGAGAAATCCTGTCACAGCTGTCAGCTGTGATCTTGTTAGCATGCAGATATATTTTCTGACCTAATCATTGGGGTGATGTCCTGGAAAGATGTTAAAATGAAAGCGCTTTCAAAATTGCAATCTACTGCTTTGAGCAATATAGCCGGGTTACTGAAACTTTATATTGTATTAGGCACACTAGGTTTATTTTCAGAGGTAATGATGTTACGCCAAAGCATCTGTTTAATCCGCTTCTTTGACCCCATGTAGAGCATCAGTTTATTTAGCCCTTTCCCAATATTAACAGTCCAGGAAGGTGGCTCAAATGTTCTGTCTTGCAAACAGCTGGGCAAGGATAGGTGTGAAAAGTGAATTATGGTTTAGGGTCGATATTTTTAAAGAGGAAAAGTCTATTTGGGTCTATTCATAATACAATGATGAAAGGATATTTTGAGCCCCTCTTGTAAAATATCATATGCTGGGGCTGAATTTCATACCTTGAAGCCAGCCCTGAGCATTGATATGGAGCATCCGGGTGTCATTACCGGATATGGAATGCTTTTAATTCTTTTGAGTGTTCATTCCAATCAGTCCTGGCTAACAGGATTTTTACAGAGCATGGGAAATGCCTCTAGGGGAAGCTTCCATTTTGATTTCCGTGCCTAACTCCTTCATCAAATTCTGGTGTTCCTGAGTTTACTTTTGGGGTGTTTAGATGTCAAAACATGTATTTTCCAGATTCCCCTGTGGGATGCCTTTTCACTAAGAGTCTGGAAAATAACGGGTTTTCTTGGGGTTTGGTGCTAAGTAAGTTTGACTAATAAGCACACATTGTTATAAAGAGTACACAATTAAAGTTCCCTTTCTTGATAATTAGAGGAGTCTTTAAATACATGTCAAATGAGATGCAATAGTGAGGGAACCAGGGCTGTTGAATGAACTGCCTATATGTTTCTTTCGGCGTGAAGTATGTGGGTGTGTGTGTGAAATGTTTATTTCTTCAAAGCAATAGGTAATAAAAATCCTTCTGAAAATTCATTAAATAAATGTGTGGTATATGTAATACACAGGAGTACGATCCGTGGATTAGAGTGAAATTTCAGCACTTTCAGTTCACTTGCTTAAAGAACTCAATTATGTTTTGATACCCAGGTGAACTGATTAAGCATTGGAGTAGAAAGTATGGGGTGCAAAAGACAGGTGACTTTTGAGCTCAGTATTTCAGTATGTTGCAGAGAAACTTGGGAATCTAGAAAATGCTGAACTGGTATATGCTAATTTGCCATGCACTACTATGGTATTTTCAGGCAGCTAATCAAAATGAAATTGAATTGCAAACCCATCAAATTTGTGTCATGTGATAAAAATGTCAGAGATTTATCTATAAAGAGAAATGCAAGGAGCATCCTTTATTGCATTTAGCAAAGAGTTGGAGTGTGCCACATTTCTTTCTAATCCTTTTTGTGTGCTATTATGGCTGTTTATGTTTCTGCAAGCATTTTATGAGCACGACCGGGATTTTAAATGCCCTGGAACACACAAAGTATTTCCTCTTGGACTGGCGATTATAAGAATAGATTCCGTTTTTGTTTGAAATGAATTTGCTCTGGAGTCATTTGCTCTTGATGACAAGAAAAATCAGCAATAGAAGCATCTAATGGATTTTCTGAGCAATGGAAATAGCCTTATTTGTTGTAGCATCCCTAGTACCCATGACAAAGGTTTGTGGAATGACACTTCTGCTAGCTTTACTAAATTGCACATAGTTGTAGCACGTCTGCATAAGAATGCTCTGGGGGATGTAAATTCCTTTGAGGCGTGCTTTTAGGAAGCTCCGGAACATCTTATTGTGACAGCACCTTCTTGCATGCTCTCTCTATTCCTGTGCATACTGTTTATCGGTGCTTTTAGACATCCGTTCTGCAGCATCCTTTTTTCTGCCTTTTCAGACAGTTACTTAGGCCTTCTAAAACTATCTTGAGAATAGAATATGGAAGCATCTGCTCGCTTCAGCATCGGTTTTATCCAAGATACCGTATGGTTATTATATAACATATTTTTCATGTTGTTACTTGCGTAGCAGAATAACTGCAGGACTCCGCCTGATTCAGTTTAAATTGGACATTTGAGAGAAAAACATACTAGGAACTTACTATTTTTATGTAATTGACATTTCTCACATGCTTGAGCTTAGGTATTATCTTTGCTCATTTTAGGACTGCCTCTGAATCGCAGTCCAGAAAGAAGAAACAATCGTGTTGATTTAAGTTGAACATTTGTCTCTAAGATTAAGAACAAAGCCATGCCAGTGCTTTCGGAAGACTCAGGTAACTAATCTGCATGCTTTCAACAGATCAGTGACTGAAATCTTAGTGTATGTGTTCCACACAGGAAACGGATTCAAACTGGAGTTAAATAAAATGGAATTAAGATAGTTCAACTAGATTTCTTTAGCAGTTACCTAAAAGTATACAAGGAAGGTGGAGTATAAAAAAAATAGAGCTGATAACTGTGCAACAAAGGAGGTAGTTCAGTCATTTTGCAAGTCATCTGTGGCATTCCAGTAACCCAGAGTTTGTTGGAGGCCTAGCTGTTCTAGAAACAACGGATAATTAACATGAATGAGGAAACTTCAGAAGTAATGTCTTTAAAAATACATATTGTTTTGGTAGCTTAATATATGTTACATCTTAAACTGTGTTTGCTGCTTAAGAAGGAAGCGTTACAAAATGGGTGGAAGATAAGCATAAGTCTCTCTGCAAACTTAATGATCACCAAGATGGTACCCAAGTAAATGTAGCTGATGTTAAGTCTGCAATAGAAGGTGCCATGAGACGTGCTATCTAAAAAGCTTTTGTTCTGTCTTAAATTTAGGATTGCATGAAACTTTGGCCCTTTTGACATCTCAGCTAAGACCTGATTCAAATCATAAAGAGGAAATGGGATTCCTTAGGGATGTCTTCAGTGAAAAGAGTCTCAGCTATCTGATGAAGGTAGAAGTGCATTTATGAACATACCTTTTCCTTACAGGTTACCAATTCTCTGTTCCCGTGATTTTTCAACTGTTCACTGTTGGGGGAGGCAGTGGGTCTGCCGAATGCCTGACAGAGAGCTAACAGTTTGACCTTGACCAGCTTGTTGTGTACCCCTGAGCAGCTGGAAAAGTCCTGGAGGAGCACTGTGTCAGCCTGAGAAAGGAACTGAAGATAAGGAGAAAGAAGAAAAATACTGTGTTTGTCAGACACCCGAACAGTGGGGGATTTCAAGAAAAGTAGCCAATAAAGTAATAGACAAACAGCCATGTAACCAGTGAGAATGATGTATGGATAAAAGGATAAAGTATATGAGAGGAGTAATAAAGATGGCTATTCTGCTGCAAAAACATTGTCGTGTCCATCTCTACCACAACAGTTCACTTTGCCAGAGATTTTTTTTAATATACTGACCACAGCATGTATTTATTTAAGCACAAACATTAAGAACATTTGTTGACAGTTAACGTATGTTGTTCAGAAAAGCTGTTTCTCCATTGATTGTCAAAATGCAGATACAGTGCCCTGTAGCTAAAAAGCAGTGTGAAATATCTTCACTTTTGCTCTTATGCTGCTGAAGTCTTGCCAGATTTTCTGTCAGTCTGTGAAACTAAGGTGAGCAAAAGGAAAACTAAAAGACTCCTAAAAAAACCAAAAATAACCCTAAGAAAGGATATTTTTCTGACACTTGCCTCAGAAAAATTATTTTCCTTAAATATAAAAACATTCCATTGTAGGTATATTTAGGAAGTTTTGTATCTCTCTGTAAGTAATATACCTGAATAATCTTTTTCAGATTCATGAAAAACTCCGTCATTATGAAAGACAGAATCCAACTCCTGTTTTACATAGTGCAGCAGGATTGGTTGAAGATGTGAGTAAAAATTCTTATCTCTTTATTTTCCTATTATTTAAGTCTGCTTTTCTAACAGATCAGAGTCCTTCTCTGCAGGGCTGCTCTCAATCAATTCATCCCCCAGCATGTTCACAGAGCAAAGCTGTATCTTAAATTTGTTTGTAACATGCCACATGCCTGGAAAAAGTGAAATTTATACTGCCTTTGACAACTCTAAGTGGGTTTTGCCTGTTTCCTTCCAAAGTGTAGAAAAGGGCTGTGAAAGGTTTCAGAGCTAGAATTCCTTCCTTTGCAAAGCCATTGCCCCATCTTAACCTGCAGGATACCTCCTCTCACCTTTCCCACAAATAGCCTAATGCCTCCTATAAAGTTTTGGCACTGCTGACTGTCAAATCGTACAAAATTACCATCTTCTAAACAAGCCAAAGAAGCAAGTAGAGAAGTTTTATATAGGACTATATGGACTATATGACTTTCCTATCCAGAAGCCTTTACAGGTGAAAGGAAATCTCTCTTGCCTCATCTCCTTCTCTCTTACTCTCTCTTCCCTTGCCGCCCCCCCCCCCC